ACAAGGGTGATTTTTGAGTGCTCACTAGGACCGCCACCCCACATCACCCACCCCCCACCAGTCTGGGCAACATCAGTTTCAGACTCAAGGGTGACAGCATAAAATTCTAAGATTGGGGCATCACACTAGCTCACAATATTGACATAGGTTTGGAGGGGATCCCGAATTCATGGGTTCGTAGCTAATAACTTTCTTTTAGACCATACATGATTACAATATTCCTCAGGGGGGAATTATATCTTCTGCATTTGCAGGCCTTGTTGTCTGGGGCTAACCCATGACATCCACTCATAGTTGTGAGTCTCTAAGAAGGAGTGAATCAGGAAACCCTCCCTGTCCACCCTTTTGTGTGGGGAGGAGAGAAAGGCCACCTCAATTTATGTGATATGATTGGCCTTACCTGACTGGTTAACAACTAGGTTCCCACACAGTCACACAGCAGATAATCTGAATAAATAAACAATTCCATCCTGTGTTCATCCACAATTTCTATAATCTTTTTATTTAACTACTTACACTAAAACATATTTTCCATTTAAAAAAAACACATTTTGAAACGCTTTTTTAAAATTCTCACATTTAAAATGTATTTTCAAATTATTTATTGTTAGTTATTTTAGCCAATGTTTTGGACTACAACCCCCATTATTGGTCAAGGGCAATGGGAGCTGTAGTTCCAAAACATCAGGGGGACTCCTGGTTGGGGAAGGCCGTGAAGGCAATCTTTTGAAATGTGTAGCAAATATTTTAAAGACCACATTTCCCCATAAGTGCAATGAGGCCTTACTAAACCTAAATGCACTAATCAATTAACTGGTGTAATTAGGCAACTAAAGCTTCCATTGCAGATTTAAATTCCTTATATAAACCAATTGGGACTCCTGAATTCCAATCATGCATGCCACCTGTATCCTCCTTGTATGAAAAGTGATGAAAAAGAAATGATCCAGACTTACCACAACAGGCAAATGAGAGAATATGTTAGCCCAGTATTCAGGGAGAAGTAGGGTGAAACATGCTTGCTTTGCCACATTGTCCTTGCCCCCATCAGCTGTAGCATCAGACATTCATGCATTGTGCAGAAGGTCTGAAGGGAGATGTTTGAACTGAATGAGCAACACATGTAGAGTAAGTGTATAAATGTAGGCCAAACATGAGGCATCAACGTAGCTATTTTGGTGCCACCACAGAGATGGCAGAGGGGTAGGCAACAGAAGACTAGCCAATCTGGTTCAACCCCAGGGATATGAAGTTGTGCCTTTCAATTGATTCATTTTGGATCCTTCCGTTCTTTAAATCTTTATGGAACAGGCCGAAAAGGGTTTGCATTATTTGCCCCATAAAAGGAAACACACTTTGACTTTGGGGGGCAGAGTTACATGAGTAAAATCTATTATTTTATTCATTTACTTATAAATAATTTGTATAATGCAATCCCATAAAAATACTAAAGGGACTCACATGAATTGTAATGGGGGGGGGGGAGACAAATTAAAATGGATCACCAGCTGACCAGTGCAGAAAAATGTATTTTCCTAATTATCTGCATAAGCCTGGCAGCAAAGAAAATGTTTGAAAGTTAATATTGAAGGTGCCGGCCAAATCTCTATTGGAAGAGCATTCCACAAATGTGGGACAATAATACTTAAGTCTTGGTTTTGTCTTGAAGTCAAATGATACTCACCAAATTTGGGGGAAACCAGTGACGTTCCTGCAGGTGATCTTTGTCACTGAACTAGGGTGATTGAATAAAGATTCACTTAAACGGCATGAAGGAATTTTTTGCTCTGGTTCTTAAGCCATTCATACGCAGACCATAAACTGCTTTTAAAATAAATTTAATGAGATGTGAGAGCCGATCATGATCTCCAACAACTCATCTAGTCTGGTCCAAAGTTATTAATGGAAACTGTCCTCTGAGGACCTCAGAAAAGCAACTCTATTGTGGTTTTGAAACATGTGCAATTTATTTAAACAACATTAATTAACTGATCGATTGCTTAAAACGAGCCCATTAAACTGATTTCAAAATCATTAATTTGCTGACAGACCTAGATTTTTTTATTTAGCTTCCTAGGTTGCACCCATCTCAGCCTCAGCCATCACAGCATAGGTTAAGGGTTGGTTTGCACATTGTCACATACATGCCACGGTCAATGCACAGATTGCAAAACATGTCCCCTGCCAACAGTGTGTGCTAAACATGCACACACAGAGGAGCTCCAATTGGCCCTTCCCTTTCATGTAGTAATAAATGAGCTGCTCCATGCATTGTTAATTCATTGTGCAATGTAGGTGCATCTCTGGCTGCATGCCTCACCCTGCTGATCTAGGAGCTTGCTGCTGTCATCTCTGACATTGCCAGTCACCTTATTTAGAAGTGTGGAGTGAGGGCTGAGTTCATACCTCTTTGCCTCCCAGACGTATTCAGGGCTAGTCCTATTCTGCATAGACCCATTGAACTAACTACGGTTCATTAATTTTAGTGAGTCTACTCTCAGTAGGAATCAGTTGAGTACAACACATAGGGCAGGAGGCACCTAATGTGACCCATCAGCAGAAGCCCAGCACAAGGACTTCCACTTGTGCAATGGGGCTTTCCCCACTCTTCATCCCTACATGCCCATGCATCCCCCTAGCATTGGCTTGGGGGAGGGAAGGTGTCAGGAGAAACCCCAGTACAGCACATGGGATTGAACATTCATCATAGTATGATGCTGAATTCCACTCTCAGCATGTATTTGTTCAGATGCTTCGCAATCCAGTAGAAAATGCCAAACAATCACCTAGTTGAATCCAGGACAGGGCATGTGTGTCTAATCCTCTATCAAATGTTTTGTTTGTTATTCTGCAAAGTATCTCTGGATAAACATCCTTAGCAGTGTTGAAAGTAATCCTCTCCGGAAATTTTTTTTAATTTTTATTTTGAAGCTTTACACTACAATTGTAGAACTACTTCCATACTTAACAGAGAATTATCCTCTCTCACTTACATTTTCTGCACCATCAGAAATGCACAGCTCATTAGGACCTTCCGACTACTTCATAAACAAAGTCTTGTATTGCTATCATTACTACCTAATTAAAATATATATAAATTGGGGATTTTATTGCAGCCCATAAAGCTTCTGCTGCTGCAAGGTTATGCAAAAATTACTATTCAGATTTCAGCTGATTGTACTTTTCCATCTGTAGCGCCATTATAAATTAACCTTAAATAATTCTACTGTCTCCAATTAAAATAAGTCTACTGAGAGAATATCCACAAACTAACAAGCAAACCTTTTTATTTGCAGAAACACCTTTCTGGGCAATTGATGCATGTTATTTTAATAAGAAGTACTGCTATGTTGCCAATATCTCTGAAACATAAAATATATGCATTGGATTTTAGAGTGGTCTGGGCAGGGATCTGTCCTTTACTGTTGTATAAATGGCCCTGTACACTTGATGCTGCTATCAATCAATAAATAATAACAACATCAACAACTTTTGCATAAAAGTTTATGCTGATCACCTAGCTTGAGATAAGCTCATGGGAGAAAGCAAGGGCCTAATCATTTCAACATAAGCACTTCTTGGTAGCATGCTTGTTTCTCCAGCTCGCCTCATTGGAATCTGAATTTCTGGGACAAATCCCAAGAAAGGTTCATGTCGTTCTGAGCTTTTTCTGAGCAAGCTTGGAACAACTCACGACATGGAAACTGACTCACAGCAGATTGAACTGACGTGACCCCTGCCTACGTACCCTGGCAAAGTGGCAGGAAGACCAGAAGCAGGGAGAAGAGACCCTACAGGCATCTCCAATGCTTGACTACATGATCTTGACCTGAGCATGCTCAGCAGCTTTTCTTACAGGGCACACAGGAGCTGCAGTTTTGTTGTGCCTCCCTTGAGAATTTGGCAGGCGTCAAATTCAGCCAGCTTTGGACCCAGCTCCTAATGGGGTTTTGGATTTCCAAACTTGGAGATTTCATCTACCAACCTATCCACCACCTCCATCCCAGTTCTAAAAGTTGGGTCCACTGGAACAGTTAAGCACATTCTTATATTTCACCCATTTGATATCAATAGGAAGATGCAGTGCTTGTTTGGATAGTTTGCTGGCACGGGCGCATAATGACCATGGCAGTTCTCATGGCAAATTAATGAGTTATTTTTTTGTTCTGCAGGAAGGAGGGAGTGAATTTAATGACATAGTGTATGTTATTCTGATGTTGCTCCTTCCATCTCTAACGAGTAGCTCCCATGGCACAAAAATCATCTATACATGGCCTAATCAAGGACCATTTTCCCAACAAAAGAGAATGTACCAAGCTATGCACTTAACAAAAGGCACAAGGTATCTACTTAATCATTTCAATGTAACGAAAGAAACTGGGTGTTGAACATGATCCCCCATGTAATAAAAGTGTAACAGAGGCACCTGAGCACAATGATCAGCACAAAAACACAATTCACTGCATGAGAAAATGATTTTCTGCATCAAAAAAAGGACAGGGCACATATTACCTTTGTATGTGGGGCAAGGACAAGTGGAGTGGCAGGTGGTGGTGGGGATTCACACATATATGACATGTGTTTGAGTTATAGAAATGGAGCTGTACCAGCTCTGGGCCTCTTCTATTGTGTCATTTGGCTTTTATTTACAGAGCTATGTTCAAATCCTCATTTATACAATTAAAAAATTGGAAAGCTCATCAACTGTCAAAGGTACTGTACTCGAGGCATTTCTCCCTCAAAAGCAGCGATGAAATGAATGAGCAACATTCAGTGAAATGGAGGCGATAATGATGTATTTTAGAGAACAGAATTAGACAGATAATCCAAAATGCTATATAATCTCCTTGAGGGTTGCATATTGTGCAATCTCTTGTAAATCCTGTTTGTTTGTTTGTTTGTTTGTTTGTTTGTTTGTTTGTGTCTGTCTGTCTGTCTGTCTGTCTGTTTGACTGTCATCTATCTATCTATCATCTATCTATCTATCTATCTATCTATCTATCTATCTGGAATACTTCATGAATTTGTGTGATATCCTCTCACAGGGGCCCTACTAACCTTTTCTATATTGTTCCAATTTCATTTTGTGCTCTGCCAAAGCAAGGATTCTATCTGTATAATTTTAAAAAATCTGTTTTCCAGACATCAAATGGTAGGTTTGTAGACCACATAATAATGATTTGAATGGCATTTGATGAGCAGGTAATTCTATGATGAGCAGAACAGTCAAGTAAGATTCAAGCATCTTCCATTTCCTGGAGTCTCTGAGTCACATTAGACAAGATAATTACTACCAGCACAATATACAGCCTCATTTTTCACATAGTAAAGATTTAATGTTGAAGTTGTTGTTATTTAACTAGTTTTTCTATTATTCTGTAAGTAGAAGGGGCTTTTTGTTATATTTTTTAATCAGTTATATTTTTGCATAAATGTAAAAGGGTTAAGTGCTTTCAAAAGCGATGCAAGGAACACTGCAGGGGGGCTTTTAAAACAAAAAAGCAAAAAACCCAGAATATATACTTAATGCAGCATTTAATGTAGGAAGCAAGTATACTTAACTTAAAAAGCCGTGGCAACGTGACTTATTTTATCTTCGTGTTGGGTGTGCATTTCCCAGATCTTGGAAAAGAGGTGCTATTTAAGAGCAACACTATGGTTCCATCACTATTATCACAACTTTTGGTAATGATAAACATAGTACTGATCTCATATGATGGTATCATAGCTTCCACTTGTCATAATACTTCTGTGAGCATCAAAAGACTAATGTCTGAACGTGCATATTGCAGCATGTGTGACAATGAGTTGGGTTTGTTAAAACAACTTTTTAATGGAATTTTTGTTACATACGAAAACATGTATGCTGATGACACTCAGCTCTACTTCTCCGTAACTTCTGAATCAGGAAACCAGGCAGTCCCTGAGCCACTGCCAGGACGCAAGGCGGAAGCACTGTGAGTGTGTAGCCCCTGTGTGTGAGAAATTGGTTAGTTCCCTACCCTGCATTGGGTTGCTCTCCCTAGGGATGGCCCATCCCATTTCAACACCTGAGGAAAAAATGGGAATTAGTGCCTCCTGCCCCTGCCTGCTGTGCCCCACTTCTGCAGTCACTAGGCCCTGGTTCTCACCAAACTCCATGGGAGCATGGGTGCTCCTTCAAGTGTTGTCGTTCATTTGGCTTCTCTGCCCAGGGGTGGGGTAGTCAAATGGCTATACTGCATGCCAGAAAGCCTCCCTCTCAGTGGCAGAAGCAGTGGGGCAGGCAGAGTGCCACCTCTTCCACAACTGCCACCTGAGGCAGGTGCCTAACCCAGTGTCATGGGTAGGCTGGCTCTGTCACTCCCTCTGATGGAGCAGGTGTGCAGTTTGGGGATGTTTCTGGGTCTGTCACTGGGGGCTCAGGTAATCTTAGTGGCTAGAAGTGCCTTTGACCAACTGTGTCTGGCTTGATAGCTACAGCCATTCTTGGACCAAGAGAGTCTGGCCACAGTAACTGATGCACCGGTTACTTCGAGACTGGATTATTGCAATGCACTCTATGTGGGATTTCCCTTCTGTTTGATCCAAAAGGCGCGGGGAAGGAAAAGGAAAATGGAGGCAGGTATAAACTCAGAAAGGATATGTTATTGTTTCAGTCACACATGTGTACTGCATGGCTACAGGTTTAATTGCAGTAGGGTGGGAGAACTAAGGAACTGAGCCAAAGAATATATCTGAAGAACTACCTGAAGAAAGTAAAAGAGGCGTTCAGAGAGGCAGTTCCAAGCAGCAGCAGAAGCAAGGGAGAAAGGGCAGAGTCTTTTGAAGGAGGTGGGGACCTTTGAATCACTGAGAGTGGAGCAGCTAGATGCAAGAACCACCGAAAGCTTTGAAAATAAGGACTAGGAGCTGATGTGGATCTGGGAACAGGCAGGAAAACAGCAATGGCATTTAATGAGGGGTGTCTAAAAAACAGAGTGATGAAAGGAGACCAAGATGCACACAAAAAAGTAAACACATACACTTCTTCTGTGTACATCATTATCAGCCATGAGAATATGCAGCATATGCTATGAGCTATGAGCATATCCAGACATAGTTAATACATGTATGGCTGGATCAGGAAAAAATAGACTAGAATGTGATCCATCAGCAGCAGCCAGTGTGCCATACTGGCAGAACCAGTTTGATTGGCTGGTTAAGGTAAAGGGACCCATGACCATTAGGTCCAGTCGTGGCCGACTCTGGAGTTGCGGCGCTCATCTCGCTTTATTGGCCGAGGGAGTTGGCGTACAGCTTCCAGGTCATGTGGCCAGCATGACTAATGGTGAACCAGAGCAGCGCATGGAAACGCCGTTTACCTTCCCGCCAGAGCGGGACCTATTTATCTACTTGCACTTTGATGTGCTTTCAAACTGCTAGGTTAGCAGGAGCAGGGACCTAGCAACGGGAGCTCACCCCGTTGCGGGGATTCGAACCGCCGACCTTCTGATCGGCAAGTCCTAGGCTCTGTGGTTTAACCCACAGCACCACCCGCATCCCTTGATTGGCTGGTTAGCTATCATAAAAAGGGAACGTAATCCCCCCTTTCTTTAGTCTTATGGACCATAGAAGTCAGCCAGCCTCAGGACAAATGAAAGTAAAAGGCAAATTTTAAATATAATCTGCAATCTTTGAATAGCAGCGCAGAAAGACAGTCAGAATGCTGAAGTAGGGAAAGTGGGGCAACCAAATTCTAACAAAAGCTGCCACTCAGGTATGAACAGAAAGCAGAAAGGAAGTTTACAAGGTAATTTGTAACTGCCAAATCAGGAGAAGCATGGCAATGAACAAGCTGGTGCCAATATTGCTCTCATAGTCGGGGAGATCTCAGAGCATTAATTGCATCAGTGGCAGTGATGGGTTCTGCAGCTCAATTGTCCATTCACTTCCATAGTGCAGAGACCCTCATGGAAATGCGGAATTTGCAAAGACCCAGATCTAATGCTTGGGGAAACAGGCACTGTCATTTCCTTCACTTCACAACTCCTAGAAGAGAAACATATCCCTCTCTTCTTATACTGTTGCCTGAAAGTACAAAGCCCATCCAGCTGGTTCTTCTTCTTCTAAGCTTAGGTCATTTTTCTCACATAGACATTTACCTTTCTTCACGTCCTACAGAAAAAAAATCTTACCTTTCTTAGAGTTGATGGGCACTATAAATAACAACCAGGAAGTCCATTCATATGCCAAGTAGGAGCTTCTGAACAGAATGTGAATGATTGGGCCATGTTAATGCATAGGCACCACTTGTGAGAAATCATCTCCATACAAGGGATATCTCTGTGGACACCATATTTTGGATGATGATCACAGCAGCTTAAAAAGAAGGTCATTCACAACCCTTGCTGCAAGGATAGCCTTTGATGTGATGGTGTTACACTCTCCCCTCTTTTTCAGGCAATGTAAAGTTCCAGGGGTGCAGCACTTGCTGAGGTTTGAGTTTCTTTGAAAAGAGGCCACTGAAGTTTTTGGTGTTTTGCAATAATTTATTATTCACAAATATACAGGTTGAGCATAGATAGAGGCATGGTTTAAGCACTCCCAATGGACAGCAAAAGCTACTGTCCCACATCCGATCTCCAAAGACTTTTCCTAGCATCATCCTGTATCAAGAAGCAGACCATTAATTCTGGGTTGAATAACTTGGACTATTAATCCTAACAAAAGTTGTGCCTGGAACCTTGGCCACTTAACCCTCTCCTAGCCAAACTCTGAATCTTAGAACAATATTTTGGACAATCCCATGCAATCATTGTCACACATACAGCCATTTTTGTGGAGGAGCCAGTTCTCACAAATGGCTCATTTGTGTGACTGCTACCTGGCCACAGGTACTTGCATTACATATAAACTGGCCAGAGCTTTGAAAATTCTTGAACGTCTCACTTAAATAGAATAAATGAAAAGCTAAAGCACAGAATGAACAAAGGCACAGAGGTTAAAAACAACAAAAAACTTTTTATAGGTATGTCAGTAGCAAAAGGAAGAACAAAGAAACAGTGGGGGTCACTCAGAGGAAGATGGTGAAATGCAAACAGGGGACACAGAAAGAAGCTGAACTCCTCATTCACCTTCTTTACTCAGTCTTCTCCGATAAAGAAAACAATGCCCGACCTGAAGAGATTTGGAGCAAACCAGTTTAATGAAACACAGCCAGAATAACTAAGGAGATAATGAAATACTTGGCTAGTTTAGATGTATTCAAGTCTCCAGAGACCAGGCAGACTGCATCAAAAGAGTATTTAAAAAGACTGGCGAGATGTGATCCTCCAGAACCCACTGGCAGTCATCTTTGAAAATTCCACTGGAACAGGCGCGAGAAGTCCCGGCGAGATTTGGGAGGCAGGAAATGTTGTCCCTATTTTCAAAAGGGAAAGAGAGGACCCAGATAATTGCACCCAGTCAGTCTGACATCAATACCAGGGGAAGATTCACGGGCAGATCATTAAGCAAACCGTGCTGTGAGCACTGAGAAAGGGTAACATGATGATCACCAATAGTCAGCATGGATTTCTGAAAAAAGCCATTCATGTCAGACTAGCAGTCTCGTTTTTGACAGAATTACAAACCTGGTAGATGGAAGACGCAGTGGATGTAGCCTACCTTGATTTCAACTTGACGTGAGCGGAGTGCCTCATGACATTCTGTAAAGCTGGTAAAATGTGGTCTTGACTGTGTTCCATCAGTGGATTTAGCAACTGGCTGGCTGGCTGAACCCAAGGGTGCTCATCAATGGTTCCTCTTCATCCTGGAAGGTGACTGGTGGGGGTACCACAGGGTTCATCTTGGGCCCGGTCTTGTTCAACATCTTTATCAACGACTTGGATGATGGACTCAAGAGGGCATCCTGATCAAATTTCAGATGACACCAAATTAGGAGGGTGGCTAACACCCCAGAGGACAGGATCACACTTCAAAACAGCCTTGACAGATTAGAGAACTGGAGGCCGACAAACAAGATGAATTTTAACAGGAGAAATTCAGTACTTGGGCAAAAAAATGAGAAGGCACAAATACAAAATGGGGACACCTGGCTTGAAAGGCAGTACATGTGAAAAAGTCTGGAGTCTTGGTTGACCTAAACTTGGCATGAGCCAACAGTGTGACGCAGCAGCTAAAAAAACCAATGAAATTCTGGGCTGCATCAATAGGAGTATAGCATCTAGATCAGGAAGTAATAGTGCCACTGTATTCTGCTCTGGTCAGGACCTCACCCCTGGAGTACTGTGTCAGTTCTAGACACCACAGTTCAAGAAGGACATTGACAAACTGGAGCGTGTCAGAGGCAACCAAAATGGTCAAGGCCTGAGCTTGATGCCTTATGAGGAGCCGGCTGAAGGCTAGGGCATGTTTAGCCTGGAGAAGAGGAAGTTAAGGGTGATATGATAGCCATGTTCCAAGCCGCCATAAGAGGATGTCACATAGAGGAGAAAGGTTGTTTTCTGCTGCTCCGAATGGATACGGAGCAATGGATCCAAACTACAAGAAAGAAGATTCCACTAAACATTGGGAAGAACTTTTCCTGGTAGTAGAGCTGTTGACAGGTGGAATTTGCTGCCAAGGAGTGTGGTGGAGTCTCCTTCTTTGGAGTATTTAAGCAGAGGCTTGACAACCATATGTGGAGAGTACTCAGTGGTGTTTCCTGCTTGGCAGGGGGTTGGACTCGATGGCCCTTGTGGTCTCTTCCAACTCTATGATTCTATGATTCTATGATTCTATGAACAAATAAAAAGAATGAACACTGGACAAAATTCCAGATCAGCAACTTGTATCACAAATCTAAACATCTCTGCTTAATAGTAATCCCTCTCAGGTAAACAGCTATAGGATTGCCACCATAAGCATTCCTCCATCCCAAGATGCACACTTGTAATCCAAACCATTTTCTTGGATGTTTTGCATTATTTGGTTGAGTTATTCCTTTTCAGTTTGCTCACTTGAGTCTTCTGGTCACGGTAGAGAATGTTTTATTACTTGATTAGGATGTACTTCCCCTGAGATCTCAAGGATTGGTGGCGAGGAAGAAATTCATGCTGCTGCAGTTCCTTCTTTTCAAATGCATTCTGGGCCAATAATACATCTTGCTCTTGATTTCTTCTGTGCCTAGCAGCATCCTAGTGTTAAGCAATGGAAAACAATAGTGTCATTTCACTTTGAACCCCACATTTCCTGCTTAGGGAAAGGGAGTGATTCCTTCTTCCTTCTGCAGTTTGCGCATTAGCAGTCCCTTCTTTCTAGATATTCAACATCAAGAAAAGCAAGACTCAAGGGTTACCTTTCCTAAAGAGACTTATATTTTTCTAAAGACACACACACACACACACACACACACACATATAAGCTCGGAAAGGCTTGTCAGAGCATAGCAAATTAAGATCAAAGCAAGTAATAAGGAAAATAACAAAGTCATGCTTCTATATTAAAAGCGAGTTAAGGACAATGGGACATTTTTATGGTACTTGGCAATGCATGCCTCAGTCCTGATGAGACCAGCAAGATATAACTGCAAGCCTAATCCCCTTGGTGCATTCGAAAACATAACACTGAGAACTTATGTGGCTAAGCACAAAGTACAGAGACATTCATATAGACAAACACATATTTTTTTTAGTGGAAAGGCATTTTGACAGTGAGCAATAGGTGATCCAATGGCATCAGGTGAGGCATTCTAAATAGACTGTCATCTAACATGGTTACTTGAAAAACTCCACTCCGAATGGATTAAAATCTATATCTGCAACTTTAGCTGACTTACAGGGCTCTTCTGTAGCAGTGTGCTCCTGTTGCTGCCAGACTGATTGTTGATGCAGAAGTGGTGTTGTGTAATAATATGAACCTTATTCAATTGTGTACAAGGGCACAGGGAAGGACTGGCTGAGGTCACATCTACTGGCTCCGGCTGCAGCCTCAGCACATTCAAGTGTGTCGTTTGCTCTGACCCCTATGTATATACAGCCAAATGTGCATAGTATGCATCAGCAATGGGGAGCCTTTGGCCTTCCAGAAGTTGTTGAACTCCATCAGCCCCAGACAGCATGACCTAATAAAAAGAGGAATGTGCTCAAAAGAAACCAGAGACTTGTCATCTGAAAAGAGAAAGAAGGAAGAGATTAAAGGAGTGCAAACAGGCACCAACTGGGAACTTTCAAATGCACAGAGGGAATGTGAAGGAATCAGGGTGAAGAGACTTATGGGGAAGAGCTGTTGCTCAGTGGTAAAGAATCTCTTGAGGCTTCCAGTTCCTGTCCTGTGCCATGGCGATAGCTCTCTCAACATCGGAGAGAGGCACCTGTGCTTGGTTGGCCAATGGCCAGATTCCATATAAGGCCACTTTCTAAGTTCCTAACTTAACTCAGGTGAAGAGGGAATCCTATGGAGGGCAAGTAGGAACTTCAGAGTGGGGAAAGAACTTACTTCTGGTGTAACAAAGCAGTACTTCTGGGAGAGGAATTGCTATGAGTGCAAGGCTGTCAAATACTAGCCCTGATGGCTCTGTTCTGCCTCCACAGTCAAAGGCAGAAATGCTTCTGAATATCAGTTGCTGGAAACCATGGGAGGGAAGATTGCTCTTGTACTTGCAGTGGCGGATCTTAGGAGCCTCATATTTCAGCGGCACCCCATCCAATGCCAAAATTCCATGCTCCTGCACCTCTCTGCATGCAAGACTCCATGCCCAGTGTGACCAAACTGATCACGTTTCCCTAAATCCACCTCTCGTGCTTGGGTCCTGCTTATGGGTTTCCCCCAGGCATCTGGTTGGCCACTGTAAGAACAGGATGCTGTCACTGGCCTGATCCAACAGCCTCTTTTTGCATTCTTATATTTTTATGAAGACTGCCAATGTCCTCTGCTTGGTGAACAAAAGGAATGGGAAATGAAGGGAATGGGATGCCAGTGGTTTTTTCCTTATCCCATTGTGGGATGTGAGTGCAAAAGTTTGTGTTTTTTGCATCCTTCTGGATGTGGGTGCCTCACCTTAATGGATGCTAATGCATTCAATGTGAAGGTTTCACAATGCTTCCTGTATGATGCTTTTGCTCCTTAGAGCTCTAGGAAGCCTGTCCATAGCTATGTCATACAGCTTAATTAGATTGGAACCAGTGGAGAGGAAGGCTTGTTTGCATTCTTTGTCTGCTGAACTGAAGTGGAAACTACTCCCATGGTCCATGGTCCTAGGGAACAGCCAATGTAACCTTGCTGCTTGCTTGCCCTTTGTGACCAGTCCTCTGCTAGATCACTTTTCCAGACAAAATAGAAACTTTTTGAGTCAAGAGAAACACGCAAGGTGGCAAAGAATGTGCTCCCTTGGCAACAAGATCTACCTGTGTAAAAACAGAGCAGCGTTCTGTATCCAGCTTAATGATTAATTATAACCAATTAAAATTATATTGGTAATGTATGTTTCATTTCAGGTTACACAACATATTTCTGAGAAATATTCCTATAATTGGATCCAGGGTGCATGGAAGCATTCGGATGTCAGACTCACTTTTGACACCACTGGTTTAGTGAGGCGTAATCATCTGAAAATACTTGACAAGCTTTCTTAACAATGGAAGTAATTAAATCTTCCATGGTTAGGTAGGATAAATGCATTAAAAATGACAGCTTTTATTCCAAAGTGTTTGTTCTTCTTTCAAACAGTACCTGTGTATAAAACTTTCCATATACTGGCCAAAGGTTTTTATATATTGGCAAGCCGCGCTTCCCCAACCTAGTGCCCTCTAGACCTTCCTTGAGTATGATTCAGTCATTTTGTAATGTGTGCTGAAATTGTGCGACTTAGTGTTTTCAAGATTTGTTTTTGAATCTTGGTGTAGGTCTTTATTTCTATTACACACTTCACTTCTTATAAATAAGTACATAAATAAAAATAACTTGGGAAATGCCACTTTGTCTGCTGATATAAAAATATTGACATGTATTTGTTAACAACAATGAAAGCTACCATGGCTGGTATGTGGAGTGCTTTTGATCTAAAGAGGTTCAGTGGTTAGCTGAAGTGTGGGGCTAACTTTTAGGCAGACAATTAGCCCATCAGAGATTAATGGATTCAGGTAACTGTAGTCTGGAAGCTTTTGTGCAATGGCTCCAGTTTGTAATTCAGGCAGGAAATCAAGTTTTGTACCTTGCCAAGCCACCCAAATATCATTAGTTTAGCTTATTGATCTTTTGACAAATTTCTAGTATCTTTCCAGTTCTTAGACATCTCTTTCTGTTTTCCTCAACAGATCCTTGCATGACGGTGGAGTCATCTGTTTGGTACATAATGACTCATAAGCTAATTCTTCTTGTTGCTTTTTAAATCACAGTTATTATAGTTTCATTGTGTTGTGTAAGCATTTATTTTATATTTTGTATTGATTTGCTATCTTGCGCTGGTGATGTATCCTTTTTTTTTAATTGCTGTTTGCTAAAACTACAATGAATAAGATAAGTGACATCAATTATGTCCAATGAAAGGAAGAGGTGCTATAACCATAAGGCCCATCTTAATTCAGCAACCAATATCAGAGCTAATGAGGTAAGGGGAAAGTGTTTTGTTTTTGTTTTTTTACAAAAAGGTAATGACCATATATGTAAACATTCCGATAATAAACCCTTAAAGGCCAAATCCTCTGTAGTGCATTTCAAACACATGTCAAATGTGTTTTGACACAAAGGTCATCATCAGTGGCCTAATATAACATCACAGAAACTGGGTGTGACAGATCTGTTAAAATAAAAGAAAAACGTTGATAGATCAGCTCTTCTAGAATTAAAAACACACAAAAAACCCAGTGAGCTAATACTCCCTAATAGGCTGCATGCTACTTCTAAATAGTACAGACAGCATGCCTCTAAATAGTAGTTGTTAGGGATGACAAGTGGGGACACTGCTCATGTGCTCATGTCTTGCTTGTGGGCTTACCAAAAGCATCTGGCTGACCACTCTAAGCAGTGCCAGATTTACGTATAAACAAGGTATAGCTTAGGGCCCCACTCTCTTGGGGGCCCCAGAAAAATTTAAAGGGGAGAAAAACTGGATGTACATTTCCAAAATATAAGATAAAAAACAAATAAAATAAAGCCCACATACAGCAACAGTGTTTTGTGTTGTGTAGGGTCCTATGATGTAAGTAATGGGCCCCACCTGGTAGCCTGCTCCCTAAAATATCACTGGTTTGCTCATTTCTGTATACAGGGTGCCTACATTCTGCATGTGCAAATGGCTTTAGATACCTATTAGGTCCATATATTTGTTGTTGACAAAGGACAGCTGGACATATAAAGGGCCCCTTCAGTAGCTTAGGGTCTCATCAAACCTAAATCTGGCCCTGACTCAGAGAACAGGATGCTAGACTAGGTGGGCCTTTGGTCTGAACCGGAGGATTCTTCTTATGCAATACTTACGTAATTAAATCAGTGCTTCAATGTAGTCCTGTAGACAGGGAGAAAGACCATAGTCTAGCTTCCACGAAACATAGGTGCAATAGGTGGCTATGGGCTGGTTTCCAGGCTACTGTCATCTGCATTTCCAACCTTAAAGAAACCCTCAAAACCCCATTTCCCTCTGTTTTCTTGTGCACTGGAAACAATGTGAGGGAAAGAGGGTTGAGAAATTTAGAAAGCATGCCTAATTTTTCTTCTGGTTTAGGGGCATGTCAGGGGACTATGGGGACTTAGGGTCTTTTAGAGTCCATCTGCTTCCTGGCATGCCTCAGCACACACACACACACCAGAATTCCCTCTCTGGGGCATTTCTGACACCAGCTGGACACATGCTTTGGAGGTGTCAATAGCATTAGAAAGGTAAGCTCTTGTGAGATCCAATATCCCTGTCTGACGCTGCAGCTCTTCCAGTAACTCTAGGATTACCCTCTTAACAAACTGCCTCCCAATACTTCTTTGAAAATGAAATAATTAAGAACTGTAAAGCAATTATTCGAAAAGATATGCTACATCAATAGTAATAACCAAATGTTCCCTCTAAATCCATTACCATTACAAAGCCTCAATTCCCAAATTGTATGATCTACTGCAGCTAGTAGCCCATAAACCATTTGCTCTGTTCCATCTTAATCTGTTTTGTTAAGTTATCACATTTTATGCACAGTTTTCTTTTTTACTTCAGCATAACAATCAATACTTTCCCCCACTCTCTTCTTTTATTTGCTGCTTCAGTTATTCTGGCTTCTTGTCTGTTTTAATGAAAACTTTGTTTCATTTCAGAGGCTGAATTCTCAGCATTCACAAATGATGAGGCTGGCTCTCATCTCAGTTCTCTTCTAAATTAAGGGCCAGTTTAAAGGAATCTCTGGTCAACCATCCTATAAAAATACTTGATAATGAGTAATCAGTGAGCACAAAGTCGTCTATTGAAATCAGTGGGCCTACTCTAAGCCCCATTGGATGCAGTGGGACTTGCTACCATAGGACTGCATAGTTAATCAGGATTGGGGGCTTTGGTTTTATTTTTCTACATCTCATATCTGTAACTTGAGCATAATGGCAGCATTAGAGAACTTCCATTAGCAACATTCATGTATGCAAACAAATAACAATTCCTTTTCAAAGACCTAAGCTTGTTTTTAGTACTGTGAATGAAATCCCACAAGTTTTGGGGTTTGGATGTGACTGGCACTCACTAAATCGTGCTGATGATCTTCTCCACTTTAATGCACTGCTTAGAACCAACTTCTCCAACCACTCTGCTCTTGAGGTTTCCTTCTTCCCTACACATATTCAATGCTTTTCATGGCAAAGTGACCATGACCAGATACTGAGAGAGAAGGTCACAGGAGAGAGTGAGACAGAGAGAAACCCTACAAATATACTGAATATGAGCCGGTGCAAACATTGTTGCAACTGGCAAATCCTCATGAATAAGCTGTTCATGCAGGAGGTCTACTTCTTTGAGCAGTATAATATTAAAAGAGAAGAACTCAATCAAAATTGTGG